AAACAGCAGCAATACCTTACTGTGAATCTTTACCTTCTGTCTGTCTCTCCACCCAACCATGAGGTGGCAACCATATCTTGTTTCTGAAATCCTAGTGCTTAGCAGTTCACCTGGTACTTACTGGTGGGTACTCAGGAAGTGCTTGCCGAATGAATGCTCTACCCTGTGCTTCAAACTTCTTTCCCTTCCCATCCAAATAATGCATAAAATCATAATATTAAATCTAATGAGATGGTCTGTTCTTCCTTTGGTTTAAGAACGTATGCCTCATTGAAGGGTCTGGCCTCTGAGGGCAACAAACAGGAAGGCACTTGCACGCTTCAGGCAGCGGTGTGAATGACTCCACAGTAACAGAAAGGATCACTTGAGGAGCCTAACAAGGGCTGGAGAAAGGGGGAAATACAAAAAGATCAAAAGATGAGGGAGCTTTTTTTCCCTCTTCAACAGCTTTTCTAAACAGCAGCTGGGGTTGTCATAGTAACAGCAGCAATTTGTGATACCTCCTCACAGTCCCCTCTGCACATGAGGAGGAACTGAAAGGATGGGCAATCTCCTGGCATCTCATGAAAGCAGGAGCCCAGGGCAGGACTCCCACAGCCAACAGCCAGGGCTGAGCAGACAAGGGAAGCAAAGGAAAGAAGCCGAGAGGTGGGAGGGACGCACTTCTGCCAGGAGGTGAAGGCTAAAGCGTGGGCACAAGTGACACGGGAATAAAGAGATAAACTGCCACCGTTGGCAAATAATCACAGCTGGGGCAACAGTTCTCAAAGCTGATTACCTAGAGAGCTTCTGGTTTAATTGATTTTAGACAACCTCCTGACTGTGAAATTAGGCACCTCGAACAATAAAGGCAATTTTCAAAGGACAGCTGCTTGCTCAAGTGGACACCCCACACAGAAGTGTTTACTGGAGCTTCTGATGACTTTTATTTTCCTCAGCCAAACCTGAAAATATCTTTCTAAACAAGAAATGGGGAAAATCCCAGCTCTGTGAATAGGAGGTCACACGGGAAGGTGTCACTACAGTGTGTAATTATTAGCCATCCTAATCAAATCAGCAGTTTTGCCCATTTCTGCAGCAGGGTTATGAGTGGGAAATGCTAACAGATAATTTCATCTTTCTAATTTTTCTTTCCATCCATTCTAAGTCCTGAGCATAACTCAAATCAATAGTATTTTTTGTCTGCACAATTTGAGGAAAGGCACAAAAGAATTAGGAATAATCATAAGTTAATTCAACAAATTTATTAATCAAATTCATTAATGAAGACCTAGGAAAATTGTGAATTCAGAAAAAAACGAGCTTATCAAAGTTTTCTTTTGGGAGAATGATTTACTCTAACAACAAGAGGGAAAAGTTATCTAAACAATTCTTAGAGTGGGTCACGGTTCATTAAACAACAAAACAGCAGAAACATGTAATTTCATGGCAACTCCCACCAACCGCTGCCTCTCATTATCAGCAACGAGCCAAATAATTTACTTAGCAATCCTGCTGCTGGCATTTAGCCTTTGTCTTCCTCACATCTGGTGCTCCAAGGATGAGGCATTTAATAAATACGTTTATAAGTCAGTAATTTATTTCTGGCACTATTTTTGCTTCTTTTTACACCAAACTTCATTCATGGAGAGGAAATATGTTGTCACATTGTGAAGTGACCTTTCTTACTATGTTTTTATGAGATTTTACAAATCCTGAGAATGACATGGTCTTAGAAATCTAGTATAAGCTTTAGGTTGTTAAATCTTTGTATGTAAACCTAAGTGAAACATCAAATCAAGGTTGGGGGAACACCTCATAACATCTCCAGATGGTTTCCCGGGGAGTCAAAATGCCAGGCTGTTCTCCTGACCTCTAGATGACAAGGATAGTGTTCACATTATTGCTGCATGTTAATATGGAAAATCAAATAGAATTAATTTGGTTATGGCTTATGAAATTTTTATGTAAAAACCAGGCAGATGGAGATGCTATACAGTTGCAAACAAAAGCCTGTTTGATGTATCCCCTAAAATAGAGATCCATCCAACATTTAAATGGATCTTCTTTACATAAGAATGCTTACACTTCCAAATGGCTACTTTTGACTCCCAGGGATCAGAAGGTACCAGAGTGAATTTTCAGAGGATAAAAGGTCAGCTCCTTAAGGGGAAGACAGGCAGATGGAGTCAGTGGGAGAGGATGGTAGACAAACTCTTATCAGGAATAAGTAGGAGCCTGATCTATACCAGCTCTACCACCAACAAACTCCGTCATGTAACCTGAATCTTTGCATGGGTTAGCTACTATGATATAACAAACTACCCCAAAACTTAGCAGATTAAAATAGTGGTGGCTTCTCACAATCTAGAGAAGGGAGGTTCTACTGATCTGGGCATGCTCATCTGCCTGTGGTCAGCTGATGGACCACTGAGGTCTGAAGAGTTTTTGTGGTATTTGAATTGTAAAATAGTTGATATAAAACTAGTCTTTCTGATAGTGATCTAATCACAAGATGAATCACATGCAGAGGCCACATCTGGATTATGACATTAATATCAATACACAAGAGAAAACTTATTTGATTATTTTCTATGACTAGGGAAATTAACCAAAGGCAGTTTCAAATCATTAATATTTAATTTACATAAAATTAAATTAAGAACACAACCCTGCTCTATACCACCAGACACTGGAGCTGTGCCAATAAAGGTAAGACACTGAGGCTACCTCTCACTGCTGTGTGACACTGGCTGACAGGAGCACCTGACACCAAACAGAACCCACAGCCTGAGCCCAGGCTGGCTACTGTCACAGTAGAATTTGGGAGTGGTCAGTACAGGCTTCTAGCGAGGTACAGAGCACATAGCAGCCTTAAGCGGCCAAGCTCAAGGAGTTCAGTAATTCCTGAGGAGTCGTGATAGCCTTGCAAAATGCAGGATAGAGAAAAGAGAGCTATATCACTGTGGCAAACCATCTAATGTGCATGATGTGACTGCCATTTTAAAAATGGGGTCTGGCTTGTTGATTTAGTGTAGTTGTAACAGAATATCTGAGCCTGGAGGTTTTGTTTTATTTTGTTTGGTTTGGTCTTGTTTTTAAGTATTTTATGCACAAGAAAGTTCATTTTTATTTGTTTTGTTTTATTTTTTAAATTTCTGGGCCTCAAGGGCAGTTTCACTTTCAACAACCATTAGCTTCTGATGTTGACTGGAGCCCTTAGGCATTTCAGGGATAAAAATAAAATGACCAAGTTGTTTTGTTCAGAAAAGCGTGACTGTACATGTGCTGAACTTTATCCTCTCCCGAAATATTTTATAACGCTTCTTAAAACATAGCCTGACTCTTCAGCACATGCTGCAGAGGGGCTGACCTCAGATTCCATCATGCAGGAACAAATCCCATTTTTCTAAAGTATCTCAGATACAGGGATATCCAGGACAAAATCCTTAAAATCATTAATTTATTAAGTTTTATATATTTATGATGATTTACATACAACAGATATTTATTTTTTATAATTCTAAATGCTAGAAAGTCAAAAGACCTACATCTGGCTGTGGCCTCCCTTGTGCATCACCCCTTATGAAAGAAAGCAGGGCAAGAAACACACACTCTTATTGAGGAGGGGGGCTCCTTCTGTTATCAGGAACCCCTTCCCATGATAATTAGTCCACTGTCATCATAATGACAAACTATGAGCTGAGCTCCTCTTAAAGGTTCCCCTATGGCCACTGTTGCCTTGAGTTATGTTATGGTTTGTGTCTAGATGTCCCCTTACAGCCTCATGCAGACATAGGAGTTTTTCAAAGGTGGCTGAATCTACAGTGTGATTGATTTCTGGTGCAATGCTGGGATCAAGGGTGCTAGGATTAAGGGTGGCTGATTACTAGATCAGTCTACTGACTGGATTGGCACTACCCAATCCTGGGTACTTTGCTCTTCCCATGCTTGATTTTGCTGTGCATCACTGCCATGAACGGTTGCCCATCTGCCATATGCCACCCTTCTTTGGATTGAACTGGTTATAGACTAAAGGCTCTGTAAAATATGAGCTAAATAAACCTTTCCCCCTTTAACTTGGAGTGTTAATGTGGAGTATTTTGTCTTAGCAACATGAAAAGTAACCACGACAGGTATTAAGCTTTCAATACAAGAACTTTGGGGGACACATTCAGAGTTTAATGTTCTTAGAGCCTAACCTGGTAAGACTGTGTCTATGAAGTTCATTAAGGTCATTAGGTTGATGAATAGTATTTACCAGTATGAAAAGCTTCAAACGTGATGGTGAAAGGTGTTTCACTCTGATTGTATTTCACTTAAGCAATGCGTAAATGGGACCAAATCTTAACTGAAAGCTATATGGGAATCTTATATTTGAAACACTTTCTGTAAGATTTTAGGAAAGGGCAAAATAAAACAAAGTCCGTGAAAGATAGTGGGCGACGTTTCAGCCTGGTGACTTAAAAAGGAAAGACAAAGAAATGAAGGAGCTCTCATGGCAAAGGGAAGCACAGTGGCAGCTGCCACACCACATAGGAAAGAAAGGAGTCGGAAAGTCACAGTTGTCCAGGATTGTGTGCATAAAGTGGTTGCTGCCATTTCCTTATTTCTTAGATGAAAGTAACCACAAATACAGATAGATTATAAATAAAACAAACAAAAAAAAGTAAAATAAGAAGAAGCAACTCAGCCAGCTGTGGTGGCACACATCTGAAATCCCAGCACTCAGGAAGCTGAGGCACGATGATTGCTAAAGGCTTGAGGCTGGCCTGGACTACAAAGTGAGTTCAAGGCCAGCCTGATCTGTATAGTGAAAATCTCAAAAAGACAAAGAAGGAGAAGGAGGAAGAGGAGAAGCTTCTCTTGCTCTAATTTTTTGTGCTTTAGGCATGTCCCCAAGGAGCCTATGTGCTCTTGAACAGATGTACACTGGGAAAGGAAGTCTCTCTTCCAACAGCTGACATTGAGCATGAGCCAGGGGTGGCCCAGGCCACACAGATAACCAGAGCAGACCAGCACGTGTGCTTTCGGCTACTGTGACTTCTTCCTGAAAATCCAATTTGCTCCAGATGAGCTAACACTGTGGACCCTCCTGACCAGTTAGCTCAGCTCTGAAACATCAAAATATCTTATCCTACAAAATAACATGCCTGCCTTACCCAGGTCCTCATGTATTGAGTACCCAGTGCATGCCAAGCACTGTTCTAGGTGCTAGAGTGAATAAAGTAGAGACAGACAGAAACAGACAAAACATAAATAAGTGAATTGGAGCTCAGGGTAAGTAACAGAAGTACTATGGAGGAGACAAACACAGGAATGGAAAAGACGATGCCAGTTGGAGAGGGGAAGTTCATATCATTTCAATAAAGCACCCTAAAAAGGATGCATTTGAGCAAGTTCTTGAAGGAAGTGAAAAGGGGCAGTGTAATGCTTAGAGGAAAAGAGAAGAGCAAGTGTAAAGGTCCTGAGGTAGGAACATGTTTGACATATTTGAGGGAAAACTAAAGAGAAATGAATAAAGAAGATATTTGCACATGGGACAGTAAAGGTGAGGAGGCCATAGAGAAGAGAAAGTGATAACAGCCCACTGTTTAGACTGCATAGAGCCTTGAATCCATTGCTATCACTTTAGCATTCACTTACAGTGAGATGGGAAGCCAAGGAGGGATCACAAAAGAATAACAACACACAACCAGCCAGCTTTGTTGTTGAAGAGTCGGGCGACCTTTAAGTAGTTGAATCTGAACAATCAGAGGACGAATGTCATAGTTACTGTCTCACTTCTGGGACAAAACACCCAATACCCACAAATTAAAGGAGCAAGGCTTTATTTTGACTCACAGTGTATAGAGGTTTCAGGCCACAGTTGGCTGGCTCCAAGGCAGAAGGACATGGCAGAAAAGAAACAATCCACAGAATGGCAGGCAGAAAGCCAAGAGAGATCAAGAGAGGAGGAAGGATTATTCCCTTTCAGGTCATGTCCACAGTGGGCTGCCTCCTCCCACGAGGGCTCACCTCCCAATATTACACCCATAAACCTTTCAAGGGACTGCACACACCCCTGATGTAACCGTCTCCCAAAAGCTCTTCCTATGAGGGCATAAGGCTTTGGGGGGACATCTAGTTGTAAACAGTAACAATGGAGTTGCCCTTAACAGATGGGAGGATAAGGTAAGAGCAGCTGAGAACCTGCGTGACACTAGGAACTTGTTTCTGAGCATGTTAAGTGTAAGATGTCTAGTGGACACCCCAGTGGAGATGGCAGGTGGACGGATGATTCATGAGTCTGGAATTCAGAATCAGAAGTCTAGACTGAGATGCAAATTTAGGAATGTCAGCCTTTAGACAATATTAAAGCCACAAGACAAAAATTCACACTAGTGAGTATAGGAGAGGGAAAGTGGTTCAAAGACAGTCTAGGACAATCCAGCACCTGGGCCATAAAACTAAGGAGAAATCAGTGAAGGAGGTTGGTAAGGAACAGCTAAGGGGTCAAGAGCAAAATCCAGAACCCAAACCAGAAGGTGCTTCACCTCGTTCTGTTTTTGTTTTAATTCCTACATAATAGGGCTGGGGATTTAGTTAATAAAAGAATTGCTCTATGCAGAGAGGCAAATTTCAGGAGCACCTGGTGGGCTTTCCTCCTCCCACTTCCCAAAAGGAGCAGAGGCAGAGACGCGCCCGGGGGTCAGGGACCACAAGGAGTCTCACAAGGAAAGGCAGGAAGATGGCAGGGTGTCCTATCTGTGTGTCTCCACCCCGCGTCCTGTCGCCACCCCCCACTTCTACCCTCCCAGTCTCAGGCTCCTCCTGTAAGGTGAGGGGCACAAGCGAGTGCTGTGAAGGAGGCAGCCAAGGAAGGGGAAACTTAGAAAACAAAGGGACAAACTGCTAGGAGCAGATGACTTGTCTTTTCCTTCTTTCTACTACTTTAGGCAAGAGATTGAGGGCTCAAGTACAAACAAAACACTCCAGCCTTTCTAATTTCCACTAAATACTAAATCCACTTCTCCAGGAGAACAAGTTTCAGGGGAAGAAAGAATAGTTATTCCCTTCGTCCTCCTCTCCCTCCTCTTCCTCCTCTCCCACTTGGCCTCCTTTACTTCTATCTTCATGTTTTCTTACTTTTTCCTTCATTCTTTTTAATGTTAGCACAGCATCCCACACCACCCAAAGAATATGCTTTCTTTTCAAGACAAGAGAGACTTTTGGCCTACACCAAACAAATCAAGCTTTCTTTACTCTTTTCTCCCAAAGGGAATGACACCCAGGGCCAGGGAAGAGAGGACCAGCGGAGACCAACAGGCTCGTGTACAGGCAACGTGGTGTGGAATTCATTGTGCCTGGGTGCAGGCAAACATAAAACAAACAGACCTTCTGGAGGGAATAAAGAGAAGTGTGTCCCTTTTATAGGGATGCAAAGAAGGTAGAGGACATTAGGCAGGACGATTTTAATAAACATCAGTGGTCCAAGTTTGCTGCAGTCTTTCACTTGATAGGCAGAGCTCCAGATGTCCTGCGATCTGCACAATTCCTTGTCCTATCTTATCTTCTTTATAACATCCTGTGCTTGCCTGTGACAGCTTCAGTGCTGAGCTGAGTTCCCTGCTGGGTGTAGTGCTTCTGCTGGCAGGCAAGCTGAGGCCTGGGAGTCAGGTCCAGTTCAGGCCTTACAGTGAGGATAGTTCTTCGCCTCCTGAGTAGAGTCCTTCTCTTCGCTCTACAAGAATCTATACCACAATAGGAAATAACAAACATGACTGAGCCCGGTGCAGGTGCTTGGCAACCTTTCTAGTCCTCCAACAGAGACACACACCTGCAATCTTTTGCACACTTCTGAATCCTTCCCAGAACTGCTTTATCTCAAGCCCTTTCATCTCGCCACTCTGGCAGCAGCCAGGGCCTTGGTCTCCAGGCTGCCCTCCCTGTGACGAGCCCAGCCCCATGTTCTGAGACCCTTGCTGATGCTCTTTCCCACCTAGTACCCTACCATCATTTCTTAGCTATGCAGAATCCATAGCTAGCTAAGAGGCCTGCTCTGACCTTCTCCTAGGGCCAGAACATCTCCTCCTGGAGCCAGGGCCTTACTATAGGCATGCTATTCTCATAGCATCCGTCTCCTTGTAGTGGTAACCACTCAAGCATCAACATCACTCTGCTGTGAGCACCTCGGAGGTGGGAAACAAGCCATGTGTGATGTGCTGTGGAAGCCTCAGGTCTAACACAGAGTGCCTGGCAGAGTGAGCGCTCAATCAGCAGCTGCTGAAGGAGTGATATAAAGAATAATGTGCCGAACTTCTTTAAAGTTTATTAATTTGTGATACCAAGTTTCTAGAAAAGAAAGAAATGACAGCAGCTTCTTTTAGCTGCAAACTTCCTGCCCTGTTGAATGACTTTGGCATTTTCTCTGTCCAAGCATCTAATAACCAGTCCTGGCAACCTTTGATAGAATAACGGTCATCCATGTTCTTAAAAACAAGCCAGCAACTCCGCGAGCTCTGAATCATCACAAGGACACAAATCATGATCTGGGGAATTTCAGAGCTGCACACATAGTGCCTGGCATACAGACAAAAGACCTCAGGCCGTCAGAGATCAGCAGAGGAGGGGAGGCAGGGGGAAGACTGGGTGTTGCTATACGTGCTAACATAATATACCATGGTCATGGGATTAAACTGATGATGAAATGCAGAAAAATTTACACCAGTAGGAACCTGGCTAAGTATCTTCTGGTCTTCTCACCAAAGCCCCACACAAGGAAAGAAGTAAGGGTATGCAAAAGGGTATGGTCAATTTTTTAATGAAAAAGTAAATAACAAGAATATAAACACTTTAAGCAATGATATTCCAGTTTAAAAAGTAATCTTGCTTTGTGGGAAAAAGAGAAGAGTCTTAAATGTACCTAGAAAAACCCAGATGGTTATATAGGGAGCCGTCTTCAATGGTGCTGAGCTCTGGGAAGAGAGATGGGAGGAGGTCAGGCAGAAGGGGGCTTCATGGCCATACACATTCATAAAAATCTATATTGGGATGTTTTGTTTGCTTGTACAGTGCTGGAGGCTGAACTCATGACCTTTATAGAGCTACATCTCCAACTCTTTTTTTATGTTTGTTTGTTTGTTTGTTTGTTTGAGACAGTCTCCCTAAATAGCTAATTTGCCCAGGTGAGGTTTGAGTTCAACCTTCCAAAGTAGTAGGGTGGCAGGTGTACATCACAGCAGCTGAACATGTTGTTTCTTACACAGAAGAGCAGAAACAATAGTCCAGTAACAATCAAAACACCAGATCTGTTCCACTCTGGCTCAGTCAACTGCATGCCCCTCAGCAGGCCCCTGCAAAATTTAAAACTTCTATCAAAAGCATAGAAGCAAATTTCCTATTCCTGAATTTACAATTCCTATGTTTGCTCTCCAAGTTTGGTGCCCAGACTCTGGAACATAGCAACATGAGGAAGAGAAAGAAGAGAGGTGGGTCCCATGGACACAGGAAGGATCTGATCTGAGACTTGAAGCCCGTGGAGAGAGATAATGCAGGAATTCAGTAAAAATAAGAAAAGCAGGAGTGGCAGCCCTGCCAGATGGGAAGAGACAGCAGGGAGCAATGCAGCTCCTGCACCCCATGTACCGGCGAGGCCCTGATGGCAACAGAGACAGCAAGGAAGCCACGGGCCTCCCTGCATGCTGGCAGAGGCCTTGTCAGCCGGGAGGAACCAGCAAAGAAGTGGCCTCCACCTACCGCCTCCTGCCTCCCCCTACCCCGCAAGCCTCATAAGAAATAGGACGAGACACAGGCGAGGACAATAATAACTGAGGTAAGGAAGCAACTTGACATTTAAATTGTATGACTGACTTTGCAAGCCTGGGACCAGAAACCTGAGCAGTTAATTAGAGGATACGATTACGCAATATAGTAACAAGTGTGAATTTTCTGTCTTATCACTGCTTTGTTTTGTTTCACTTTACTATTCTGTTTCACTCCCTTTAAAATTAAAAAAAAAAAAAAAATTCCTAAGTTCTTCCTAAGCTCAAAATTTTCATTTAAAAGAGTAAAGAAACTGCAACTACTTAAATATAATATTTCACTGGGGATCAAACAGCTCAAAAATCTTTTTAAAAATGAAATTCAATGGAAATTAAAAGAAAAAGATTAATGAGAGTTTTAAACCAAGTATTGATTGTTCAGGAAACATCAGTTCAGTCACTTTTCTTAGTTCTCTGTTGCTGTGCGCAGTCGGACCAAAGTGATCAAAAGCCACATTTTGCCCCTCACACAGCCTTGCACTCTGTGCACGTTCATAAATGTCATGGGGGGGGGGTAAGTAAATAAAGTAGATTATTAGACTTTGCTCTGGGGATGTATCTAACCAAACTTTATGACAAAATAAACCTAGGAGGCAGAACCTTGTTATTTACTTTGAACCCAACTAAACATAGACAATATATTAACACCATGGGATTTTGTATAAACACAGGAAATCTGGAAATTGGTTATGTTCTCGTAATGTTTTAATAATAAATAAATTCTAGCTCAAACCGTTCTAACAGATCATGCTTATGAGCCAGAGGAGTGTAATAAACAAACCTGCTTAAATGCCCATTCCTACAGGACTGGACTAGCGGTGAAGAGAGCCAGCCTGGAGCATGGATACGTTTCATGGTTGGCCATTGCACTGACCTGAGTTCTGAGAGTCTGCGGTAAAGAAAGGCAAGTGTAACTCTTCAAAGAAAGTTTCTTTCTTTGAGCCTCTTTGGACAGTGGGGCTGAGACTGCACAGGTCATCACAGCCAAGATAATCTCCTTGTTGAAGGATGCCCTGTTTTGGTGGCCCACAGAAAAGTCAGATGGGGGTTATGTTCCATGATCCCTGACAATTGTGGGCATTGGGGTGAGAGAAGACAATGTTTGAATCCATCTTTCCCTCAACTAGACCAGCCACATAACACTTCTGAGCTTCCATTATCTCATCTGTCAAATGGGGATGACACAAAGCACCAACACAACAAGGTCACAACCAGTAAAAAAAACATTCTATTGGTACCCTGGCTAGAATAAATGCAGTAATATTAGTCTTCTTCTTTCCAAGTTAAGTCTATGTTTCCAAAGCCATGGGATACTAAGGTGGACTTCGGAACCATCTGGAAATTGACTAGCACATGTCCCTCAGTAAATTACTTAACCTCTGCAAATTTGTATTCCTATTTGCAAAACTGAGATACCATCTGCTTGGCAGCCTACTACCTATGGGCATCATGAAGGCCAAGACTTTCCATTTCCTGTTTCTACATGATGAAGTATTCACACATACACGTAAGCAATAACATCATTATTACTATGTTCATCAGATAAAATGGCAGATACCACTTAAAACACTAAGGAAGGAAAGAATTTTATACCATGTGTAACTCCATCCTAGATCTTGCTATTGGAAAACGGGTCCAGGGAGGTGAAGTGAGCTATTTAGGATTACACAAATTGTGAAGGGCAAACAATGTTAGACTTTAGCCTCTGAATCTCAGAACAGTACAAGCACCAACAAGCTTCAGCCAGGACAGGGAGTCACACTTAATAACCCTTTGTCCTTCACACATCGTCTCTGAGTTCACTGGAGAATACATACTTCTTCTAGATACTCAAATGGCTGAAGAATGCAGTATTTTATCTGGTATATGTGTTTCATAGGGTCTCCACGGTAGGCTTAGCACAATGTCTAATAGGAAGATTTAAAGAATATTGAATGAGTGAATGAATAATATTTCAATACATAAATGATAAGAATCACTAAAGATGCTAGGCCTGGTGTCACGTGCCTGTAACCTCAGAACTCCAAAAGGCTGAGGCAGAAAAAGTTTGAGCCCAGCCTGGTCAACTTAGTGACATGACATCCTCTGTTTCAAAATTTTAAAAAGGCTGTCGATGTGGCACATTACAAAGGCCCTGGGTTCAATCACCAATATGGCAACAGTAAAAACAAATAAAAATTACCAGGGAAAGGACAAAGAATCCAATTGACTATATTTTTACATACCTGTTGATTCTTAGGAGTATGTAAATAAGGTAAACCCTTGAGTTACCAATAATCCAAAATATATAAATAAACCCTACTTAAGAGATTTATTCTAGAAGTCAGCATCTCCCAAGATCCAGCTATGTTGGAACTTAGCGGGTTGAGCAAGAAAGCAACACGCCCTGCTTCCTAGTAATGAGCCATTGCATGAGCAAGCAGACAAGCCAGGAAGAGAACCAATCAGCATCTCCCGGTATCCCACCCCCCCACACACATCAGCAACTGGATGGTGTCAAGGACAGCTGGAGTTAATAGCAACTAAGGCACATAAACAACTAAAGGCTTGTGTTGTTGGGTTGATTAGGCTGACCTGGGGGCAGAGGTCTAAGTGTCTCTTGGGAGAATGACTGTATGCAACATAGCAAATATGGGAGTTTCCTTCTATCTTCTCTTTGAAGGCAAATATTGTTTTTACTGTTTTGCTTTGTTCTGATTAATTATTTTGCTTTATTCAATATTCTGTTTTGATAGGTTTTATAAGGTTCTGTTTTGGGTTTGATTTTGCTATACCTAATTAAATGCACAACTATTGTGAAGATAACGAGATATACTCTGGTACCTATTACTGTTATCCCAGTTTCCTGCTCTGAAGTTCTGTACCAATTTCACTGTTTTATCTTGATTGGCTTTGTTCTGTTGTATTTTACTTCAATTTTAATTCAAAATTTAAATAAAAGATTTATTCTAATTTCACTTGAAAAAAGGCAGAGAAGATAACTTCAAAGTGACTTTACATATTTGTCAAGGAAAGAAGTGCTTGTGTCTCATTTTCTGTGAGAATTGCAAATACATCACAAAACCAGATAAGGAAATGTGTTTGTTAGCTTCTTTGTTTTTTCTCAAAGCACTTAGGGAAGAAATCTGTCTTCTAGGAATCTTATTCCCTGGGAGAGAAGAGATGAAAGACCTTGTACCAGCAATTTGACATTCCAGGAAATTTTACAATGAAAGAGGGAGCAAATAATCTATAAAAAGTATGTCACACAAAGGAAAGCACTTACACTTTTCTGAGGGAGAGAAAAACATCAGACTCAACCTTCAGGGCTCTGAGGATGCAACACATTTGAGTGGGGAAGGGTAGAAGAGAGGAAAATCAGACTGGAGGAGCCCAGCTACGGCCCACCGCCCCATGCCAGGGAAAGGAAGGAGCGACCAGGCCTCCAGCTTACATCTCCACAGTTGCCTTCTGCAGATAATGGCCTGTGACAGAACTGTCAACCAGGGGCACAGAAGATATACAAGGACTCATCTGTCCTCTGGGACTCTGGGGAACATCTTGTTTCCCTAGTCCGTGGGCCCTCAGGCTACACTCAAATGTGTGCCATGAGGGAAAACAAATATAAACAGAATTCAAATAGAGAGTGTGGCCAAGTGATTTTTTGATACTACAAGCTCCAGAAGAAATTTCCAGAAAGAAACAGCAGGTACCTCAAGGTCCTTCTGTGAAGAGCTGCTCTCTGCAGTGCAGTGGGTGCAGGGAGGCTGGCGCCCTGGAGCATGGAGCACAGACCCCAAAGGAAATCTCTGCTTTCCCATCTCAGAGTGACCAGTTCATTTCCTGTCCAGCCCAAGACTGACAGCAGGATATGCTTTTATTTTTCTGTCAGACAACAAACAATTGTTAAGGTTTTGCACAAGGGGAAGAAAAGGTGAATGTGACTGTAGCTTCTCACTAACGCTTTAGCATCGAGCTCTAGACATCCAGGAGAGGATGAGAGGCCACAGCTGGAGACATTCACTACCCAGACAGAGGAAGTGAGAGACAGAAATGGGCAGGGAGCAACGGTCCCCCGCCCATATGCCTGGGCTGTGGGTCAAGCTCCCATCCCAGGCCTCCAGGGACACTTGTCATCCTATACTCAGATGCTGCCTCCAAAGGGAGAACATGGGTGTCCCCTCAGCACAGTGATGTCCCACAGAAGCTTCCAGACTCAGCCCCACCAAACCACTCCAAGATGGACTATTTCATTTCATCCTCACTGCAACCCAGTGGAAAGACACTATTTTAATTCCCATTTTACATATAAAGAAATTAAGGCTTAAAGAAATACACCTGAAAGATTAAAACTATTAAACGAGAACTCTATACAATTGGGATTCCTCTTGTGTGAATATGAAGGAGGTATATGACAAAAGTGCCCCCTCTTAGAAAGAAAGAAAGAAAGAAAGAGAGAGAGAGAGAGAGAGAGAGAGAGAGAGAGAGAGAAAGAAAGAAAGAAAGAAAGAAAGAAAGAAAGAAAGAAAGAAAGAAAGAAAGAAAGATGCGAGCTGGATATAGTGGCATGTGCCTATAATCCTGGCACCTTGGGAGGCTGAGGCAGGAGGATCACAGTTCGAGTACAACATGGGCAAATTAGCAACTTAACATGACCCTGTGTCAACATCTTTTAAATTTTCTAAAGTTGAATATGAAGACCCTGGATTTCACCCTCAATACCACACACAAAAAAAGTTTATTTCTTTCTTTAAAAAAAAAAAAAAAAAGACTATGTCTCCTGCATATTCCTCTTGTGGAGAGTGCAGGGGAGGGAGGTTCTCTGTGAGCACGTGAGGCCAGGACAGAAGAAGGCACTGCAGCCACAGGAAGCGAGAGGTCAGTGGCCAGTATCACCACTGGGTCACGGCCTATCAGTGTAGAACGGGTGTCTTCTCCTTCTCAGCCATGGGAGACTGAGATTTCCCTGAGTCACAGCAGGGCAGGCCACCAAGCTTCTGGTTGGAGTCTCTGGAAAGAAAGCTCCACACAGCTTTTCCCTTCCCTGTCTCCTTGAGTGGCCATCACAGTCCCTCCTGCACCCCGCTGTGTGCCCCAAACTGCATGTTATGTATTTGATACACGTAACAGCTTTCTCGAGATGGTATCGTGTTGTCATGCAATAAGAATCACCCATGTTTGAGGTTCGAGACTTCCAAATGGAATGCATATGAATCTACTCTTCAGTCTTTTGCTGTTAGTGAGATTTGGGCTCTCAGAACAGTCAGGCAGAGAATGCATTGCCTACTTTTACACTATTTCAATTCTGAGGCAGAAAAGACCTGTGTTAGAAGGTGTGAGGGATGAGATAAACAGGGTAAAAGAGTAGCTATGTGTGTGTTCAAAAAATGAAACCATAAGAAAGCAAACACATATTTCTCCTGTGATCCAACATCCCAAGTCAGGAGCAACACCTCAGCTCACCTTTCTCACCCGGCGGCTCGCTGAAGCTCGCAGGCTGCCTCACCAAGGCTATCTTCAGTGATGTTTCAATTCTTTTATCCACCATGGCAGAACCAGGCTTCTGAGTCCTCTGTTTGACACTATGTTCTCAGGATGAGCTGTGAATCAAGGCAGAGGCTGCCTTTTAGCAGTTCCATGTGCTGAATATCAGCAAGTGAAAGTCACATATCCAGTAACACACGCGTCTGATGTGCTCAGTTCTGTCGACCTCTGAGGCTAGAAACCACCTTCAGAGGATGGAATCAGTAGAATGTTAAGGGTAGGGTTCTGCGCTTCGCCTTGATCTTCACAGCGGCATTGTGCACCATCTGCTCTTTTTTGGAGGGGACTGTAACGTGTGGAGGTGCATAGAAGATCCTGTCTTTATGGAAGGATTCCAGGTCCAGTTCAGAGGAAGCCTACAGGTAAGAGCTACAACAGTTCATTAAGCTGTCCGTTTGTTTCATGCAGTTTTCTATTTTATTTACTTATTTATTTTTCTCTTTTCAGACAAGGTCTCACTATGCAGTTCAGGCTGGCCTTGAACTCACTTTGAAGCCCAGGTTGGCCTTGAACTTGCAACAATCCTCCTGCCTCAGCCTCCCAAGTTCTGGATATACAGACGTGTACCACCATGCTTGACCTTGTGCAGTTTTCTGTGTTTGTGTTATTTTTAACAATTTTTAAAGACATTTTAGGGTTTTTTTTAAGTTCACTATGCTGCATGAGTGTTAAGATTCCTGTGTCCATTTTGTTCACACCTGAATCTTTAGCATCTAACAAAGTGATTGGCACATAGTAGAAACCCAACAAAAACTGAACACTGTGAAAATTACACAGATGAAAAAAGTATCCATCATTAGACCTTTGTCCAGATCCACAGCATGTACAACACCAAGAGTGAACGCTAATGCAAACTTACGGACTTGGGCTGATAATGCCACATCAGGCCATGTTACGTCCTGCAGTGGGATGAGTGTACCCACTTGGTGTGGGATGTTGAGTGTGGGGCAGGTTGGGAGTGTGGGTGTGGCCACATGGAAACTCTATGTGCCAGCCTCTCATTTTTCTATGAACCTAAAACTACTGCAAAAATAAAGTCTATTTTAAAGCTAGGCATGGTGGCACATACCTGTAATCCTACCACTCCAGAGGCTGAGGCAAATGGATCATCTTGAGTTCAAGGCCAGCCTGGGCCACATAGTGAGTTCAAGGGAAGCCCTAACCCAAAGTGTAAGTGAAATAAATCAGACTCACATGTAAATGTCACACTGTCACCCTGGTGAAAGAAACTGAAAGAGTAAATAAGGACCAAATCTGTGTACAATGGGTGTTGTGAAATGGGAAGAAATTGTTCAAAAGAAAAGAGGAACTAGGGTAGGGGAACGGGAAAGGAAGGAAGGAAGGGAGAAGGAACAAAATACAAGATAATTACACTACTAGTTTCTCTTAGTTCATTGAAAAGAATGTTTTGTGCTAGTATGATTTAGAAATATTTTTATGCCTGTACCTTGTACTCTGAGTAATTACTTCATATTAACCATTGTTATTCTCCTATTATTTTTTTATGAAATTTTGGTTTTTTTCCATAAAATAAAAAAACAATAAATAAATAAGTAAATATTCTTTTTAAAGCAATTTTAAATTCATTAATGTTTTTGTTTCTTCATTAAAATGTTTTAGGAACCCACTGGCATTTAAAGGCTTAATAATCTGCTAAATGATTCTTGCTTCAGTTATTTCATGAAGGCTTGCTGCTGGGTATGGTGGGCACGCTGTCATCCCAGCTCTTGGAAAGCTGAGCAAAGAGGGTCACGGAGAGTTCAAGGCCAGCCTGGGCTGCATAGCAAGACCCTGTCTCAAAAAACTTTTAAACGGTGGTGTTGGGGGGTGGCTTGCAAAATGGTTCTGTTTCTTTCATTCCTTCTATATTTATTAGCTATCAATCTGAGAGTGAGAGACAGAGACAGAGAGAGAAAGAAAGAGAGAGAGAGGTTTAACTCATCAACTGCTCCTACTGGAAAAGCAAATAATCACTAATTTTGAATTATTATTTTTCAGAGTAAAGAATGTCAAGCTTTGTTGTTTTTTTTCTGAGTATCACATTACAGGCTTATGGGTTTTATATATATTCAGTGTATACATCCCATTAGCATAACCTTTTGAACCTCAAATATTATCAACTTCAACCAATAAGAATTCCTCTGGTTGGTTCTTTTCCTGGTGCCGTGTAAAGTATCCAGTCTCTCCCCAGACTCAAAATCAACCACTTCTTTAAAGATTCTTGGTTCCTTTTAGTAAGAAATGCAGCAATTAGAAACCAAAATCTGAGTGGTAGGACTAATTATTGCTGCTACTTGCCAATTTTTCTAGCCCCATCCAATGGATAGAAGTGGAGGGAAATATATTTGCATATATTTTATATCACATATTCATGTTAAATTTCCAAGTCAAATGTCTCATTATGAGGATTTTAAATTTAAAATGCTTTATTCTTGCATTTTTCTTTTATATTAAAAATCTCAGTTGCTAGCAAAATTAACACATTTCATAGTTGTTCCTCTTACAATAGATAGATAGATATAGATAGATAGATAGATAGATAGATAGATAGATAGATAAATAGTTCCAAAATATGAATTACGGTATTTATAACTTGTTTTATAATCTTAGATTTAATTTAGTATCACTTCTGTCTTTAGACTGCTCCACTAAGCACGTCCAGTTAAAGTATTCTTATAAAATATTTTAAGTCTTTATTTTCTTGCTACTTGTTACCAATTTGATACACTAGATTTAAATAAGATTTACTTAGTCAAAAAAAAAATAAAAATTACGTAAGCATGAGTTTTGATTCTATTGCTGTTTCCTCTACCTCATAATTTTGTTAAATTTAGTTACACGTTTTCACTTTTTCATCTCTTTCCTCCTTCCCTTCCAAACTGTCCAGTCCTAACATCCTTATGCAGCAGGAGAAATCCAAGCGGGAGTGAGGGAAGGGTGGTGACCACAGCACAGGCCAGAGTCCACACAGGGCCTGCAGCTGCAGAGCCCAGCATAGGCCGCGGGAGCCGCAGAGGATGGAGCGGGTTTCCACAGGACATTTCCACCTCATGCCCAGTCAGAAACCAGGGGCAACGGGACTGCGAGGGCAGGGGTGTGAGGGGAGAGGACCTTCACAGGGAGAAGATGAGCACATCAGCAAGTACATCAAAGAAAACGGGACCAAGCGGAAAGGGACAAAACTGCAGCCTTGTGACTAGGAAGAGAGGAGAGCTAACTCAGTGTTTGAAATCTATACATAGAGAAATGAAATGAAAATTTATACACACACATATATACACTCACCTGTCCACTGACACAGCTTAGGAGCGATGACACTCCAATAGTTACGAGCCTGCCTGTCACACGCACACCTTCAGTGTTAAATTCTCTGCTAAAAGGAGCCAGGGATCTTGGAGAATCGGCAGCACCCAGGGTGGGGCAGCGCTAGTTTTGATATATGGTGCCAGGAAGCAGAGAAGGACTCTGTGCATAATGAAATCATCTCCAAAGGACACACAAGCCAGCTCAAAGGGGCTCTCACTAGTAAATTCTGGGATAATGCAGGTCCAGAATTAATGAATTATAATCTATGAGTGAAGTGGGGAATCATGGTAATTAGTTAAACATAATGTACTGAGAAACAGGCCTTTTACATATTCCCAAAGTACCTTCCTGCAGATGTGTATTACTGACAAGGGGGAAAGAGTAACTGCAAAGGATAGCCTGACAGGCTTCGCCCTAGTCAAGGGAATTAGCACAATTCAAAGTCATGTACCATCTGATGAGATGCAGTAGAACTCACATCCCTTCTGTGATACCCCTACCAGAATGACACAGATCTCTATTAGGAAATGTCACATCTCTATTAGGAAATGTCTATTTGGAAATGTCATATGACTACAAACCAGGGGACGTTTTAACCTTCAAAAGATTACCAAAGGAAATCCTAAGGAACAGTCCCAGACCAGGGAAGTCTAAAGACACTTGACACCAATGGTGACACCAATGGTAACACGTGAGTCTCAGCTCAGCCATTTTGGGCTAAAGGACGCTGTAGACCCAAGTGGTGAAATGTGGATGGAGTCCGAGAAGTCGTGCTTCAGCATCACTATCCTGATAAGTGTATTGCATTCCTCCTGCCCTCTGAAGTAATTTTGGGGTGTAGGGGGAGCATCATTTCAGCAATTTACTCAATATGTTTGTGGAAAAGGGTTATTTGGGCCACACTTGCAACTTTTCTTCAACTTGGAGATTATTTTAAAATAAGGGGATTTTTTTAAGTTGTAGGTATGTTAGTATCTTAATCTCTAATTTGATCTTTTAGTGATTTGAGGAGAGCCAATTTAAGAAAAAATACGTAAATTCTTATTGCTTCTTTTCTTGTGCAAAAGCAGTATACCCTGCACTGTCCTGCACCCTCCCTTTTTAGCAACATGGCCTGACTCTTGTTCCATATCAGCAAATCAACATCTTCCTCATTCTTTTTATGGCTGCATACTGTTCTGTTCCATTTGCTGGTGTTCATTTGAGACATTTCCCGTTTTTTCCCCCTTTTTTAAAGTTACAGTGAACAGCCTTTGTGTATGTGTAGTTTTTTTATTTTAAAAAACAAAACAGAAAAAAGGACAGAAACAATACAGAATTTCCAAAAATACTAGGAAATTAACAGTAGCTAATATATTACATATTGTCATCTTAGAAATACTTATTCAATTATAAGATTTAGGCATAAAAAATGATTAAACAATCAAACATTGAAAGCCAAATTGTTCTTTTGGGTGAACTAACAGAGATTATTAGTATAGTTATTTATCTTATAGATACATAATATATGTATTATATATATAATCTTTTCCCTTCTTTTTCTCCTTTCCCTTATCTCAGTTCTTTTTTCCTCTTGAACACATTTTTTCTCTTTCATTATCACAATATCTATTGTACATTTTGGATCTTATTATCCTTTCAGTTTACTTTTCAATCCAGCTATTCCCTTCTGGATATTTTCCCATAAAAGCTGAAAACATCATGCTACAGTGATATATGTGCACCCATGTTAATAATAGCACAATTCGTAAAAGTTAAATCTTGGAAACAACCCAAACACCCATTGACCATGGAATGGATAAAAAAGGTGTGAGGTTTTTTTTTTTAAGAGAATAAAACCAAGCAAAATAAAACAGAATAAATCCAATCAAAACAAACCAGTGTAAGTGCAACAAGACTGCAAAACAATAGGAAATCAACAATGGTTACCTTAATGCCTCTTGTTGTCTTGAAATAGCTGCATATACCTTCAGACATAGTAAAAATCAAACAGAAGAGAACTAAAATAAAAACCAATAAAAGTAAAACAATGAATGCAATAAAAGACTTGAAAACAAGATAAGAGTAAATCTAAAATTGCTACCATAATATATCATGTTATCTTTGAAATAGCTGCCCATGACATCAGATATAACAAAATAAAACAAAACAGAATAAAACCCAATTCAATAAAACAATGAAAATGATACAGGACTTCAAAACAAGGTAATAGGGAATTAACAATGGCCACCACTTTCAGAAGGAGATCCCCCATTGATGCTACACTGAGTATTGTTATCATCTAAATAGATGATCAGACTACCGGCTTTACATCTTCAAAGTCAGTGAAGCACTAAACATTGTAAGCATTAGGCTGTGTTTTACCTCACAGCCTGTGTTTCTCTGGATCAGCCAGTTGGTTATGGCTCTTTTGTTTCCCAGCCCGCACACTGGAAGGGGCTGGCATTTGGCTGTCCTCTCAGTGGACCATGCATGACCCAATTCACAGGAAGGGCCTACTTCTTAGTGACTTCTTGTTCTTTCCCCCTACAGTTCACAAATGGCCAGATGTGGGTTTTTTTGTTTTTTGTTTTTTGTTTTTAGTTTTTTATTATTTTGAAGGTAGTAAAATATAACAGAACAAGACAGAACAAAGCCAATTGAGACAATGCAGTGAAATTGGTATAAAACATCACAGCAGGTTACCCTAATAACAGTAACAGGTACCAGAGTATATCTCATTATCTTTACAATAGTTGTCCTTTTTCAATCAGGTATAGCAAAATCAAACCTAATACAGAACATTATAGAACTTATCAATTCAAGCAAAGATGGTGGATAGATAACAGCTGGCTACAGAGGCTCCCTGAGATAGTCAACTTAGAATTCAACATAATATCGTGTGGGGAGTCCCAAACAGAGGGAGATGAATTCTCTCATCCTAAGAAGAAACTAAGATGAGAAGAACCAATCAAACATACAGTCCCGGTGCTATTATTGGAACAGCTAAAGGATCAATGCTCCTGCCATGGCAGGCGACTTGCCAAACCATCCAAGGTCCTGCCACTTCAACTCACTGGAGCTGCAGTAACACTGAGGTTGGGGGTCAGCCAGCCGAAAGGAGAGCTGAGCTGGTGGGGAGCCTGCATCAACCTGTGTTGAATGATGGGAGTGGAACCATTCCACAGAAAGGGGGCTCCAGCAGATGACGTTCTGGGACTGGAGGGGACTGGAAAGTACAAGGCGCAGCAGTGACTTCAGTCAGTTGTTCCCTTCCTGAATGGGAATAACAAGGAAATAAGCAGTAACAATACAAAGGCTAGAAGATGACAAGAGGATCTATAACTTGAGAATAAAGAATGTGAATGAAGAAGCAGGGGTACAAACAAAGGAACTACAAAGGGTATTCACAGAAATAATTAAGGAAAACTTCCCAAATATAGGAAAAGGAAATGATATTCAGATGTATGAGGTATATAGAACTCCAGCCACCTACAACCAAAACAGAGCTACACCCAGGCATATAATAATCAAGATCCCAGAAATCCAATATAAGAACAGAATATTAAAAGGGACAAGAAACAGATAACCTACAGAGGAGGGCTCATCAGAATAACGGCAGACTTCTCAACACAAACCATCAAGTCAAGAAGAGCCTGGAGTGAAATATTCTAAGCCCTAAAAGAAAATAACCTCCAGCCTAGATTGATATACCCTGATAAACTGTCTCTAGAAATTAATGGAGAAATAAGATGCTTCCAAGACAAAGAGGAACTTGGGAAATTCACAACCACAAATTCACCTGTACAGAGAATAATGCAGGGCATTATAGAGAGAGAAAAGTGCTAGAATTCCAGGGACAGTGACAGAGAGGCCTCAATGAATGGAGCGGAAAACAGAATGAAGAACACCAGCAGACAACTGATGGCAAAAAAAGGAGCATAACAGAAATGAGGCAGGGAAGGTTGGTTATAATCTCTAATATAGATGGCCTTGATACTAAATTTAAAAAAAAAGGACCACACATGGGGTAGATCAGAAGGTAGGGTCCACCAAGATGCTATTTACAGGAAATATAATAAACATGAAAAAGAGTACATAGACTGAAAATCAAATATAAGAAAACAATGCTTTATGTGACAGAGAACCAGAGAGTAATAGGGGCAACTAGAACAGTATATGTGGATAGGTTGGAAAGACAGGCTTTAATAGGTAAAGGAATACAATTAGAGATCAAGTCCAGAAGACAGAAGGTTCAGAACCACTTAGGTAAATAGCAGGTTGCCCCTCCCAATTTAAAACCAAGGGTCTTGGTCAGACCCAAAAATGCACAGTGTACCCTGGGGAAGTGAAAGGGAGATTCTTTAAAAAGATGGCAGAAGATATTGTTAATAGTGTGTCAGGATTTATAACGCACATTACTTGCACCACTCTGCTTGGATAGATTTTATTCTGTCCCAGTTTGTCTATTTGCATTAGATTTGAGGGCACAGACAGCCATCCCAAAAATATCAGGAAAGAGCACAGTAATCATCTTTAATTTCCTATTAACTTAATCTGGAGCCCTGTATGACTTATACTGTTTTATCATGACTGATCTTAGTTAAATCAGGTTTGTTTGATTGCTGTTTGGTATCCACAGATTTTATTCAAAACTGATTTGATTGATAGTATCAAGTCTGAGAGTACAGACAACTACACTGAAGATGACAAGACTCTACAATATGCATTCTGGTTTGATAACTGCCTGTTTTTAAATTTTTATACTATATACAAAGTTGTGTTTTTATTAATACTGTTATGTACTGATATATTCAATGATACTATGTCTGATGATATAGCCAATTCTATTGGAGATAACAAGAGACAACACAGGAACTATGGTAGAACTCCTTGTACAGCAGTCTTATATGTCTTTTTCGTTTCGTGTGTTTATAGGAATATGTTTTGTTTTGTCTCACTTTGTTTTGCTTCTCCCTCTAATATAGAAAGGATAGAAATACATGTCAAGGCTCATGCATGTGTAGAATCTATAAATAGTTTATGAGAACTGATCTGATGACACATGATGAAATGAACAGATACTTTGAAGAAAAAGAGACACTAAAGTACCCAGTGCCGATCCTGGAATGCCATAATGTGGAACCCAGCAGTAGTATTATTCTTTGTTCAGAGTGATATTAGCCTGCTTGAATTTGTTCAGTCTCAACATAATTGAAGATATAGATAACTTCATATATGTTTAAGAGTAATTGATAACCATATTTCTAAGTTTTTGTTGGATAGTTGAACAGAACTGATTGCAGTCTCACTGTTTGAATCCCATTTATATGCTGCACTTTAGTATCTTGAACAACTATTTGTAAGAGGACAATCTGTAATTATCAACTAGTGATTTCTTACTGTTTGTCTTTTTCTTTGAAATTATGTATTGTTTCTGCCCATTTTCTGTTTTGTTTAGTCTTTCTTTGGATAAAATTTAAAAAGAAAAAAAGACACTACAGTACACAGTGCTCAGCACGTAGTGTCATGATGTGAAATCCAGCAATAGTACTATTCTTTGTTCAGAGTGATTTTAGTCTGCTTTGGTTTGTTTAATCTCAACATAAATGAAGATATGGATAGCTGCATGTATGTTTAAGTGTATAGGATTGACAACCATATTACTAAGTTTTTGTTGGATAGTTGAACAGAACTCTTTGCAGTCTCGCTGTTTGAGTTCCCACTTTATATGTTCCACTTTTGTATCTTGAACAACTATTTGTATAAGGACAGTATCAACTAGTGATTTCTTACTGTTAATTTTTTCTTTGAATGTATGTATTATTTCTACCCATTTTCTGTTTTGTCTAGTCTTTCTTTAAATAAAAGTTTAAAAAAAGAACTTAACAAAACAGAATATTGAATAGAACAATACAATTAATCACAACAAAACAAAACAGTGATAACAATATTTGCCTTTAAAGAGATGATAGAAGGAAATCCCCCCAATTGGCTATACTGCATATGGTCAGCCTCCCAAGAGATGCCCATACCTCTGGCTCCCATACCAATGGGGGGAGGGGAGCGGGTTGCTTGGTTTCCCAGCACCCTAAGTTCCAAAAAAGGCATGGATCTAGGGAGATGCTGGCTGGTTCTCTCCCTGGGGCAGCCGCCAGATGTTGTATTTTTATATAATGGAATATTACTCAGCAAGAATAAATAATGTTGAGGCTTTTATTGGTAAAATAGAGACAACTTGAGTCCATACTTAGAAGTGATATAAAACAAACTCACTTTTTAGAGCAGTGTAAAAAAACCTGCATGTGTAATTTTATACTTACATGGGTGTAGGTTTAAAGCAAAAACATTTTTAAGAGTGGGACTCTTGGGTCACAAGGCAAATGTTTCTTTCATTTATGGTATTTCCATATTCCCTTGCAGAATGGTGGTTTTCATTCACACCACCAACATGGTTAGAGAAATTTTGTCAAATCTCAGATACGTTTTAAGGTCTCCTCTCCCCAACTGAATCTCAAGGGTGCCAGGTTTGGAAACTGCTCCATCATCTTCTAACATTTAGATAGCTAAGAATCAACAATGGACTAGTAATGATTTCTCATATGTATTGGTTGTCATCAGAGTTCAGATAACACTGGAAAACAAATCTATCCATTGAGTCATCTCCCTTGTGAAAGCTTCCCCAACACTTTCAGCTGTGCTGGGTGTGGTCCTATCTTAGCATACTTTTTACTCATCAACTGAACAAAATATCTGATGTCCAAAGTTGGGAAAGGAAAGGTTTATTTTTTATAGTTTTTGGAAGTTTTAGTTTACACTCAGTTGGCTCCAAGGCAGGGTGTCATGGCAGGGCCACAGTTTATGGTGGCTGCAAACAGCAAGGCAGAAATGGCAAGAGAGAGAGAGATGCTTTTTTTCTGCCATTATATTGTATGTTGGCTCCACCCCTAGGTGGGTGTAGCACTGACATCATCAATCTAAGTGCTAGACAATGAACAATGAACAATACATAATGCAAACT